ACAAAGCTACCCATCTTTTTCGCCTCCGGGCAGAGAAAGGCTGTGGTCATCGGCTCAACACTGCAAAAGGCCCGGCCTTGCGAGCAACAATGGCGAGATGGGACGGCAACAGAATGACGGCGACGTCGACCACTTGGCCGGCACCCGTACCGCCACAATCCCACTCTTGTAAAACTCTCAGATACGGCAAAGGGTTTTGAGTTGTTGCGATGGAGGGGTGCGAAGACCTCGAATTGGTGCGAGCTGAAACACCAACAAGATAGTCTATGCAAGGTCAACCCTTGTCCTCCCGCCTTGAGCCTCAAGGAGTCCACCCCGGGAGGGGCGGCAACCTACTGCAGACCAACCGTAGCCCAGCGCTCGGAGAATTCAACCACCTAGAGTTAATTTCAACAAACCGATCAGCTCTTGACCCATTCCACTTACCCCATATTCTTCGACTGAGGTTATGGAACAAAGCCCCATGAAGTGACCGCCGGCGTGCATTCGCCTTGGCACAAACGTCAAAAATCTCGATTCCACGCCGGCCGAAGAGTCAGTCGCTTGCGGCGATGCGACGCCAAGTCTCCTGCTCACCCGTCACTGATCTTCCAACCGTGCTTCGACGATCCATCACACGCGTCGCTTAGAGCGCGTGGACCACACTTCTCATCCGCAGTCGCGGCGCCGCCACACTCGGCCCGCTTTCACAAGCTGCCGTTTTTGGGACGAGCCTCGGGCGAAATCTTCGAATTCCAAAAGTCAACTCAACAGTTAGGCAGGTGGCTGGTGCGCCTACCACCGTCGGGTTTGACTCGGGTGCCGGCTTCCTATTACTCAGGTTCGCGAGGTGATTTGCATCAATCGATTCCCGGAAACAACAAGATATGAAATAATATCGTCCATTCGTCTCTGGTCTTGTCTCGTTCGCTAACCGGCACTAAATCATCCGCCCGTCCTGTGTCATGAGATTCTCCCATCCGTCCGTGATCGTAAATAGGGCGCCATGGAAAGTCCTATCGCTTTCCAGCTTGGCTATTCAAGTAAAGCCCATTACCAAATGCTGCTAATGCAGATCAAAACCAATGAGTATTTCCATGCCTGGTATAGTCCAAGACCGCAAAACTCCAGTGAACACCTTATCCCAAGGTATCTGTGTGACCCCCAAAAAAAGGAAAGTATGAACGCAAAGAAAGCTCGGTGCAAGTAATGCCGTGAGAATTCAAAAGCAAGCGTCAATCCGCATCGGTGTGGGCAAAGTTAATCCTCACTCGCCGGGGAGTCAGGGAGCGATGCCAGAATCTCGTCCTGCGTCTCCGTGTCGTCGGGCCAAGCTGGCAAATCCAGAGACGCGTATTGGTCTTTGGTCTGCTCCTCGAGCTCTTTTCGGAGAATCTCAATCGCTAGTAACCAACGCCGTTGCAATCTCTGCTTGCGGTCATTAAAAGTTCTGACCAGGGTATCTTCTTCTTGCGCAAAATCCGTTGCCAGATTCTCTATCTCCTGCTCTTTCTTATCCGTCAGCTTCTCAAGCTCCTGCTCCTGGCGTTCCAGAAGCTCTTCCATTCGCTTAGCCTGCCGATCTCGTAGGACATTAATCTTCGCTTGATGCAGTCGCTCCATGCCGTCTCGTACGTTGTACTGTTGTCCCAGCAAGCGCAAGTCTCTCTCAGTGACAACTCTCGGCGGCAAGTCCGAGTTTTGGGTTCGGCCGAGTCCATCGCAGTATGCCTCCATATGCTTCAAACGGATCTTGACGCTCTTCTCGCTTTGGTCCAGCGTTGATCTCAGGTCCATCTCGGCCTCGATTTGTCGTTCCTCAAGATGAGCTGCCGTTTTGGCATGGCGTTCCTTCATCTTCTCGATCAGATCCGAGTACCTGTCAACGGTTGCTTGCTTCTTCTCCGCTTGTCGAGTCCACATGAGCCACTTCGTTTTTCGCATGTAAACACGGAATCGTTCCAACTCTTCCGCCATCAATTCATCCAATTTGGCGAATTGTGGGCTGCGTCGTGTGCGCTTTTCCGCCTCGACTTTCTCTTCCGCTTCGGCAGCCGCGGCAGCTTCTTGGGCTGCCTTCTCTGCCTCCAGCTCGGCTTCTCTAGCCTCTTCCTCCATCCTGCGCCGCTCTAGCTCTTCATCCCCGTTGCAGAAGTTGGGACAGCCTACCGACGGGTCCCAGATGGCGCCGCAAATGTAGCAAAATTGAGCCTTGCATCTGCACGTCATGTGAGTACAACCCTGGCTCAGTTCGACCAACGACCGGCACTTGTAACACCTTCTCCAGCCAGACTTTTCACCCATCTTCAACACGGCTTCCAGTTCCCAGTCCGACGGGCAGTCCTTTCCGATGGCGTGTGCGTTTCGTTTGCACATTATGCAAACTCTGGTCCGGCACTTTCGGCAGACGACATCGAAGGGGTGTTTGGGATCGATTCGGTTTCGGGGAGGAATGAACTCGCCGCATGCTGTGTTTGGGCAGAAGACTCTAGCTTCCCAGGGAGTGCTGAATTGTAGCACCGCCTTCAAAAACGCATGCTGCTCCTCTCGGGTGAGTATCTTCTGAATGATGGATCCCGGAATGGGTTGGGTGCAGCATCGCGGCGGCATCTTGGACTCATCTGTCGTCGCCTGCTGGATCATTATGCTGAGGCAGTCGGCGCAGTAGGTGTGGCCGCAGGGCAAGCTGTGCAGATCACTCGGCTTGTTGAATTCGTTGCGACAGCATATACAAGAACTGGTTTGGTGTTAGCGGGTGAAATTTCATCTCAAAACAGGCCATCGCCCTTACATCGTGGACTCCATGAGGGCGGACCGCCTCTTCCATCGAATCTTTCTAATGCCCTCCTTTATACTGAAGTAGCTCCTTCTGGTGGACACGCTGAATAGGCTGTGCGTAGATGGTTCATGGACTGCTGGAGGCGGCGCCTTCTGGATCTTGGGTTGGTGAATGTTAGGGTCCAATTGTGACAGATACTTGTCGTAGTGCGAGAAAGTAAGGCTCTTGGATCTCTTCCTTGCCAGCGAGTTTGGTGGCACGTCGGCCGTGGCAGCGGTGAACGGAGCCGTGTTGAGAGAGGGATGGGAGGTCAAGGTGGTGCTCGCGGAATCGCGCGAGGCGGTGGAAAAGGTCCGTACATGCTGGGTCGCAACTGTTGAAGCTCGCGACTCGGGGCCTGCATCGGTATTTTCTGGCGTAAGCCCTGAAGTAGATATACCGAGTGCCGTGGCCTTCGCGACCAGTTCTTCGTCGATGGCGGCCTCGGTGGTTTGGGTGGACAGGCGCAGGACTTGGTCAAGATAGTCTGCCTCATCGTCCTCGGGGGACGGCAGGGCAGCCGGGCTAGGGGCCATGTCGGGAGTCGAGCTCGTCTGGCCGGTGAGCGGGCCCATGGCGGGTTGCGAGGGGGCTGAAGAAGTAAAATGGTCAAGTCAGGGCAGCGCAAGCAGCGGCATCGTGGTTCGGGTCTCGGTGTGGTTCGCAGCTCTCCGGGCCACGCCGGCCGGTCAAGCAGGTGAATGACGAGGGCACACGACTAATTGTCGATTAATGCGCAGTGGTTTTGAAACGGCAGTTGCAAGTAGTGACTTGACATCGAACGGATCGAGGGGGAGCCGGAGAAAGGATGAACCCACGAGGGGACAGCGGCAATGATAGGACGAGAGGTCAGCCAAGGTTTCTGCGCGATGGCGGACAAAGGCGGGCAGGCAAGGAGGGCCCAAGGCGGGAAGGGAAGCACCCCCAAGGCTGGCTTGTCTTGTATTGTGGTGTGAAGGTCGGGTCGGGTGCAGGTGCAGCAGGTGCAAGTGCAGGGCGGGAGGACGACGGGTGACCTGCGAGAGAACTTTTTGGATTTTGGGGTGTGCGAGTTGGAGAAGGAGAAGAAGAGCGAATTGGGATGCGGCCTGGACCGCGGGCGTGTCTGACGGATGGAATGATGCAAGGTTTCTGGCGAAAGGTGAGGAGGGGGGGCTGAGAGGAGGAGTAGAGTGCGAGTGTGCGACTTGCAGCGCGGTCGGAAGAGGGTCGAGTCAAAGGGCGGTTGACGGCAGGGCGAAAGCGCGGTTCTTGGGGACCCTTGAGAATGACGAGGGGGCGACAGGCTAGACCAGGGCGGGGGTTCAAGTAGCGATTGAGTAGCAGCCGGGTATCATCTGAATGCCGGGTTGATGAGGGGCGACAACGATGGTAGATGAGGGTTGTGAAAACACACAAAGAAAGTGAGAAACACGTCCAACGTCCCGACTGAAAGGGCGAGAAAGGGTTGGGAGGCGAAGAGTGTGTGCGCGTGTGTAGATGGCCACCAGCAAGTGGATGAATGATGGACGGAGGGCGGGAGAGAGAAAGAGGAAATAAGTTCGACAACGGCGGGACAAGTGTGGAAGCAACCTCCTCGATCGAAACTGGGGTCAACGACGAAGTGGGTATTGCGGGCTTCGTTTTCTTTCCTTATTGTGCAGCAATTTTGCTTCTTGTTGCTGTCGAGTCCCCAGGAAGCGCCGGGTGCAGGTGGGACTGTGAGATTTGGACTTGATTGTTATTCGCAGTCGGCTGATGTTTGAAGAGGAAAGAAATCCTTGGTTGGTGGTCTAGTGCGTACCGTATCCGTAGGGGCACTGGGGGTCGTCGTTGGCCGTTGGCGTTGGGCCCTTGCTGAAGATCCCAAGTGGATGGGGACAGCAAACCGGTGCGGGCTCAGACAGCTAAGTCAGAACTGACCAAAACGCCGATAATGGTGGAGAAGGGTGACGGGAGGACAAGGACACCACCGATGGCGACCTCCTTTCTGGCTTGCTGGGCTGCGATGAAAGATGGTGGAGGGCGACAGCAACGCTGAGCAGGGCAAAAAAGAAAGCACATGTGTTTGGGTGTGGTTTGAAGGGCAGGACAGAGCAGAGCCGAGCAGGATAGAGTAGAGCAGCAAGCAGAGGTGAGTGAAGCGTGATCTCTCTGGCTTGGTGGTTTCCCACCTTCCCTGCCTTAACCAAATTGCTAAGGCACCATCTGAGAAATGACAAAGATGGGCAACTCCTCCGAAGAACTTTTGGGATTGGTGTTTCCTGCCGCTGGCGCCACATCTGATGACCTGATTTCCATTTCCTGCATAGCCGGCCAGGCGGGCTCAAGTGGCGGCACCGGCCAATGCGTGAAGGCGTTGCGCCGCGAGATACGCGACGTGAGACCAAGTCTAGGTACCCTTTGGCCGGTGGCCCCATACGAGAGATACAAGGTCGTCTCGTCTTATATATCCAGGTACCCAGGGAGGACCAGACCGGCGCTGTGACAGCTAAGGGAAGGAACGTACCGCTCTCGTACCTGGTAAGGCAGGAGGAGACTTGGGTGGAAGTGGACGATTGCCCTACCTACTGACGTATCTGATAGATGTGTGGAAAGAGCATACCAAGGGACACTTACATGAGATGCTGGCCACTCTCTAGGTTACCCAGTCCGTCTGAGGTACATTGCAGTTGCAATGCGCCGTGCATGCAGATACAATGGACACGCTCTGCTTTGTGTTATGTCACCCGCAGCCCTTTCCTTGCTTGGCCGAATCACCCAAGCGACATGCAGAAACGAAGCTGCCGTCAAACATGCAAAAGGTAGATTTGCATCTCATGCTTGCCTTGCCTGTCCTTCTCCTTCTAATCTGCTTTGTATCTAGACTTTTCTTCCACACCTCCATGTCCACCACCTATTCCTGACTTAGTACCTGACGGCGGCACAAACACAAACGGAACACCACCACTACCACCACCACTACCACCACCACCACATATTGCATGTCGACCTGAAATAAGCACCGCCGCCGGTGGGCCAATTTACACTGCCTTTCCACCAACACTGCCTATCGCGGGAGGCTGCCGATAACACGATGGCCCAGTCCGATTCCAGCTGCCCTTGCCCCGTCCATCTCATGCCCGAATCCCCATCAACATCCCCCATTTGCAAGGCTCCATCCAAAGTCCCCTGCCCCGGACACACAGACGTCCGGCGGTGAAGCAAACACGACGTCTGCTGTCTCCAGCACCCAGGTTTCTGAAGCACCCAAATCTCGATGCTGATTACGGATGCCTTGGTTCGTTTGCATCTCGGGTCACTTGCGCCGCCCATCTTTCCCTGACCCTGTTCCCCGCCCCAGGCTCCTCGACGTTATTGTCATGCTTTGCGGTTGCTGACAGCATATCGGTCCAGGATTCCAGACCTGATCCCAGGCCCACGTCTCTTCCCGCACGGGTGGACGGGGACAATCCGCGACCGGGCCACCAGCCTCAGCGCCAGATGTTTCCCGCATTTCTGCGGTTACTGACGTCCGGTCTCTCCCCAAACAGAAGCAATGGCAGCCTCTCCTGCCATGCTAGCTCCCTTACCACCGACGAAGGGCTCCAACTGAAAGTACAATACGGATAACAATAGTACGTAAACATCAGCCCACTTCCCCAAGAAAGCCCCATCCCAGTCCCGCGCGACTGGGGTCTAGCTATATGCGAATTGCTAAGCCTCATCCTCAATCTCCTACCCCTTCTGTTTCTCATCTCTCACGGATGTCCGCATGCGCCGTCAATATTTGCGGTAATTGGCCATCTTCGTGGCCAACATTGACTTACAGACTACCTGTGTTTACGACGCCGGGAAGCAATCGAATTCTGTACGGATTCACAGCTGCGCGGCGACAATGCCATTCCCCTCAGGAACCTCGATATTCAACGTGTTGCACGTCAAGTCCTGGCCCCCCAGTCTCCAAAAGCTACTTGGATGCTACATTCAAAACCTACAGCTATCAACTGCTCGCCACTTAAGCTTTGAAAATGTCCGTGAGACCTATAGGATCGATAATAAGGCCGGCCGATGGCTCAAGCTCCCACGTTGCTCTTCAGCCATTTACAAACACTCTTATGGAGGCCATGACTCTGGGCTTCTTCCCCCATTCGTCGTGCGGCACACCATCTTGACTCAAGATAATAGATCCCCAAACCCCGCAAACCAACTCAACTCATTTATTCTCCCCCAACTCTATGGAGCCTGTCCAGGTCAACGCTTTTCTCTGTTTGCCATGTTCTGCATGCTCACATCGGGAACCATCTTACGCCCTCTATAGCACTAGTGGGGCACGCTCCCGTCCGGCCCCACGCCGGCCGACGTGTCTCCGCTGTCAACTCCGGGTCCCGTCTGTGGACCACCAGCAACAGTGGTCTAGACACTGGATTGAACCAGACTCCATCTTGTTGTGTTCACGCTCGGGCTCCTACGGAGAACGCCGTAGGGCGCAATGAATGCAGCCCTAGGCCGTGCGTACAACCATGGCGACCGTATCTGTTGGACGCAGTTTGAGCAGCTGAGCGCCGTCCCCCTGGGGCCTCAGGCATTGCAGCTATCGACATTGTATCAACAATCATTCCAGCCCTTTCGATTTTGAGTTGGAGCAACGAGATAAAAGTTGGCTGATGATCTACGTTAGTAGGTCTTGGAAACCGATAGCCTCACTGGCGGACCAACCGGAACTCTTGTGTGCTGGGCTGCGTAGCTCTGTTGCTATGAAGCCCGGACCAGACGCTGACGACGTAGGAGCTACGGAGTTGTGGTGCAAGGAGCTTTGGTATTTCTGCCAAACCCCGCTGAATGCTTCGGGTTTGCTTGGAACTTACAGCTCAACCTTCAGCAAAAAACATGCAATCAGAGTGAAGAGATCAAGCTCTCTTTCCGAGCTTCCGAGCCCTCGTGCTCGTACGACTTGGACGATGGTTTGCAGCGGCAGCGGCAGCGGACTGGACATGAATCCCAAGACTCAACAAGACCTGGCAGTGTACTTGCCAAATCGGTTGATCTCTAGGCATGCAAGCGATTGTGAATGGGCATCATGGTTTGGACGTTTCGCTCTCGGATTCCATGACGACACGAGCACCTCGTGGCCATCCTGCACGCTGGAGCAAGAAAGCGGCACGGTGCCTTGAGAAACGCTCACCCGAGTGGTCTGGCCAATGTTTGACTTTGGCCCGGCGGCCGGGCTATCCCCTCAACGGGCGAACCAGGAATGAAGTACAGACGAAAGATGCTCGGTTGGCAGGGTCATCTCCAGCATTGAGGCAGAACCGACGTTTCTCGGGAGCTAGAGACAAATTAGACTGCTGAGATATCGTTTGCCTCTTTCTCGCCCTGTCCGCGAACCCTCATTGAGGTGTCCATCGCGATCTAACCTCGTGACATTGACCCAGACCAACGGCGATACTCGGCATCCTCTTCTGCCGGTTAGTTGCTTTTCTGGAGAAGCTGTGCTAATGAGTATGCTTAAGTAAACGATGACCAATTCAGTTGAGGTGTATCACGTCTTGCAAAGCCATGCTCTCGGATCTCAACCCATCGACGGAAATGACAGGGCAACAATGCAAGGGCCTGTCTTTCCAGCTCACCCTGAATGGCATCAACGCCTGAAAAGAAATGCACACCTACAACGCCTCCAGAAGTGATGCAACAGACCGCCACTTTCCAGCTGCCGGCAAGCTCAAGCCAATCGAATGGCATCATCGCCAACCGCCGGCGCAGCGAGTCAGTCAGGTGCAGCAGCAGCAGTAGAAACACCACGTCCTGAGCGGCCAGAGCAAGGGGTCGAAGATGTTTGGACCAATTCGAAAAGCAAGGCACACCAAAACCTCTCTTTCGCTACCTTCTCCTCTGCCAGTAGGAAACCATGGAGCCATCTTCGTCGGCCGAAACCGCCGCGCTTACCTCGAGAAGCTCTGGCCTACCCTTTGCAATGAACCCCACGATCAACGCGCGCCATGCCATGCGGCGGCCAATGATCTCATGTGCCAGTGCGCCCATCGCCTCGTTTTCGTTTCTCCTCCCAACGTCTTTGGCGAGACACTGGTAACCTGGATGGCTGGCTGTCTTCCCGAAGCCCTAAGTGGACTGGAAATAGCAGAAGCTAGTCTTGAAAGCCTTTAAGAAGATGTCTCAAAATGAACAGAGGAGAAAAAAAGAAGATTCGCCATTCCGAATAAAACGCGGACGAACCGCGGGGTCAACAAGCGAGAAAGCAAAGAAGAGCCTTTTCGTCAGAAAAATGGTTCGTTTTTTGAAACAAAAGAAACAAGGGCAAGGGGGCCGGAAGAGCGTTTCCCTTCCTTGTTGTCTCTGCGCAGCACAAAGCCGAACACCGATTGTGACGTTTTCGGAACCTCAGCCTGGCTATCAACTTACCATCGGTCAAAGAAGGTAGTTCACCCCAGAGAGGACAAAAGATGCAACTAGAAAAGGTTTAAGCTACAGCATTTAGCCGGATCGAGTAGTCGCAGCCGCCACGGCGTGTAGTGGAAGGTTGTTATATGCCCATCTCGAATCTGGGAGATCCTGCAACCCCTCGACGCCCGAAGTAAGTAGTTGGTTGGTTCGGCGCTTGAAAGCATCCAATCAGATTGGACCAATAGATGAAACTGGTGTCAAGTCACTGTTGAGAAAGGTCAAATGAGACTCCACAGCCGAGTAATTCCATCTTTTCGTTCTATTTGGAGGGGGTATAACTTGAAGTGGTTAAAAAGTTTGTATCATACAGGCATGCGCATGTAAACTCCTGGCAGTGAGATGAGAAGATGATGGGCCCCCTGGGGAGTGCATGTACAGTACGATACAATAGTGATATACACTGATTTACAAGAAACGAGGCGGGAGGAGAGGGGAGGAAGCGTTGGGATTATTCATCAGCACTTATCGTCGGCGGCTCCTTCTCTCTTCCCTCAAAGCAGAGGCTGTTTTGCCTCTCCCTCTTCCGGAACGCCGTGGCCCACTCCGTCTCAAAGTTGTCTTGCGCCGATCCCGAATCACGCGAATCCTTCGGTGGCTCGAGTACAAGGGGCGCTTGGCTTTTCAGCACGGAACAGCAAAGCTACGATATCGCCCCCACTCGTTTACTGGAACCACGACTTCTTGGCGGCCGTTTTGGAGCTGGCAGCGGCAGCCTTCTGGTTCGTCACCCGTCTGAACTTTTCGCGATTCCGGGCCTCGAGGAGGCCAACGGCGCCGTCGTCCTGGAACCAGTGCTGGCTTCCGCCGCGGCTGGCTGGGCCACTGGCGCCGGCGTTGCGGGTGGTCAGGGGCCCGCGCTCGTCAAACATCATCTTGACGCGCTGGACCTTGCGGAGCTTGACGAGGCCGTACCAGCAGACGAGGAGGGAGAAGCCGCAGGAGATGGCGGTGACGCCCGCGAAGCCCCAGTTCGTCTCCTCGATGAAGTTTTCGAGGTTCATGCCGTAGAGGCCCGCGAGGAAGGTGCCCATGGCGAGGCCGAGGGTACCCACGGAGAATTTGAGGTCGAGCAACATGAGGGAGTTGCGGTTTGCGTCCAGGATGGCGCGGATGCTGAGCGGAGAGTTAGCTAATGTGGCGTCTGGGTCAAAGGGATTTTGGTTCACATACATCTCCTCGGTGTTGCGGATGCTGGAAACCAAGTTCTGGGCTTCCTGAACGATTTCGTCGCAAAGCTTGTTGTACGACTCCAAGAGCAACTCGACTTCCGTGTGGTCGTCCACGCCGCGGTACAGATCGTGTGCCTTCTCAGTCAGGTACATGGCCGCGAGATCGTCGTCAGCCTCCAGCAGCTCCTCGATGGCGTCCCTCACGAGCTTTGCCTTCTGCTCAAAGGTGCTGACCCGCTTCGAGAGAATGAGGAGAATACGCAACTTGTGCCGGTCGATATCGTCCTCGAGCTCGCTGAGGACACGGATGACGGGGTCTCTGACTGATTCAAAGTCGGCTTCCAGCTCCGAGGTAACGGATGTCAAGACGGCTTCGAGAGCGCGGAACTCGTAGGGCAGGCCGTTGACGCCGCCGTGCGCCTGCTTTTGCTTCAGTTTGCCTTGCAAATCGTACATGAAGGCCGACTGCGGGTACGAGGTCTTGGAGCCGTATACATCGAAGAGCAGCACGCGGTCCTTCTTGATGAGCACTTTCAAGTGCAAGAGGTTGAGAAGAATCGCCGATTGGCGGACTAGAATGTGAGGCAGGTTGGAAGAGTCGATCTTTCGCAGATCACGAGGCAGAAGGCCATACTGTAGCAACCCTCGTCAGCATATCGAGAACTCCCAAGGAATGTACGCAGCCGAGTCAAACCTTTGCGATAAGCTCCGTCTTCTTGAACTCCCCGTCCACCAGGATAACCTCGCCAGTCTCATCCACCTCGGTACATCGCAGCCTCGGTTCCAGCGCAGCTTTTGCGGCTAGGATTCGGCGATTGTTGAACATCGAGCCAGCCTCGCCGTCATCGTGAGCAGGGAGGTCATTGGGTTGTAGCGGTTTGGCCCCTCCCCTTCCCTTCATACCCCAAAGCCTCTCCTTCCATGTCCGGCGCGGGGCGGAAGATTCGTCACCGCAGGCATCGCGCCTCATGCATGTCGTGCTGAAGGAGACAATCGTTGCGCCACTGCGCTTGCGAGTTGCCCGCAGTGTGACGAGCTCTGGTCTGCGAGGCGAGGTTCGAAGCAACTCGGGTCCCTTGCAGGTCGTGGTAATCGATCTCACACCCGTCCTCGGAGTCCTCCTTGCGAGACACTGTTGGTTATGAGCCGCAGGTCGAGCCTGGCCAGGTCGAAGAGCAGCACACCGGCCCGGGCCGAACACTGACGACGTCTCCGTTTGCGATCGCAGGAATCGAAGTAGGCTCGTCGAGGGCACCGGGGTGCGTAATGGCGGAGGCATCACGAACAGCCGACAGGTCGCACACACAGCGGCTCAGCTGAAGATGCACGAGGCCACTTGCTGGCGGTCGTTTGAAGATATATCGCAAACCAGCAATTGATGCCACGAGCTTTCCTGCTGCCAACACTTTTTTTCGGCCGTTTTTCCGCGCAACGGGAAAGAGTTAGAGTCGGGTCCGCATGCACAGACCAGGTGATTACACACCGTCCTTGACATCATTGGTCACTGTGCTCACACTGTCTAACCCACAACATGGAAATCTCAAAGACCCTCTCTCACATGGCATTTCTCCTGTCGAAGCCAGTGAAGGGTTTTCCTTAGGTCGGGGCATTAACATCTTGGGGCGGCATACGGATTTGCGGGCGACTCTTGCTTTTCGACATTTTCTTCTCATTCGTCGGGTTTTTGATAGCCGATTTGGTTTGGGGTATTCGAGGTTTAATATCGGCGGCTTAAGGTTTTTTCACTTACACCATCCTTACCTCAGCGTCGGCCGTCTCTTGAACCATCCTCGATACCCCTCCTCCACCCGCCCGGCTTGTAAGTTCGGCACATCTTTAAGCCTCATGTTGTTCTTCATTTTTCTAGAATGAAATCGGAAAACTGACAGTGTCTCAGGGCACTTGCGGAAAAAGAAGAAAGTGGAACCGGCGTCTTCGCATGATGAAGTTGACTCCCATCAGAGTCAGAGGCAAACGCAAAGCCGCCTCGTCCCCGTCAACCCCCCAACCGGCTCAGAAAAGGAGATCCCGTCTTCCGGCACGCCGGGATACCAAGCGTGCAACCCCGGTGGAGCACATGCCCCTGGAGATCCTCGAGCGCATACTACTCTTCAGCGAAAACCTCAACTTGCTCAGGTGTAATAACAGAATTGGCGCCCTACTTTCTGGTCGAGGAACTCTCATCAACGTCATAATCAGTGCCTTTCACTCTACCTGGGACTGCTGGTTTGGGGTCGACAGGCATACGATCAAGACTGTCTTGAAACGCGGCGCGACGGATGAGTCTAGGTCGTTCAGGAGATATGAGAAGTTTCCCGAACTCTTTCCAGGGGACCCAGAATTCCAGGCACGTACTTCACCTCTAAGCAGCTAATAACTTCCATGCTGACTATCAAACAGTCTTCCGTGCTAGCCAGCTCGTGGATCAATGTGGATTTAATATTTGAGGCCCGGCAGGTCTGGGCTTGGCGCTTCGCCCGCGACAGGTGGTACTCACATACCCACGTTGGTCCTAAGGATGAAGAATCAGACCAAAACACTACGATAAGCTCACCTCACGACCGGAGCGGGGGCTTCGGCCATTTCGACTCGAGAGATTGCTTCGAGTATGACTGGGCCCTGTATGGTCTTTGTGGCGCGAAACCGACTCTTGACTTCTACGTTGATGTACACCCAAAAACAACAATACCCGACGATCTAATAACTGGACCATGGACACTCGAACAACAAAGGTTGCTTTTCTGGCTTCGCAGAGGTGGCGCCTTGATTCAGCCCGAAACTCAAACTTGGGAGGTGAGTTGATGAAGAGCACCGGGCATGCTTCACAGACTGACGTGGGAAACAGACTCTCCGAATGGGACTGCAAAACGCCGTCACACATCGCAACCCTGGTAGTCTAAACGGTCGGCTGATTCAAATGCTGCTCCTTCTGGACGACTTTTTCCCCTCCCGAGGCCTTGCGGAGAGCCAGTCTCTGTGGCCGCTCGACGTCCTGGAAGAAGAGCACGCCAAGGTGGAGAAGCTTGTCAGTGCACGAGAGCGCAGCACCGCTGGCCCCTTGCACGAACTCATCGAGCTCGAACGACGAATGTTTGACTATCACCGTCGCGAGGTCGACCTCCTAACGTCGAGACTGAGCCGGTACGACCGCATGGGGCCGCAATCAATGGTCGCCGTCGGACTCGTTCCCCAACCCAGGAACCATTAAGCTATGAAAAGTTCTGCGCTATTGTACATACCTCCGGACTTTCGTGACTCGTAATCATGAATATTGTAATCAAGAGATGTATTGGTGGAAAAGTAAGTCTTTCAGCTGGGGTATGTTGTGTCTGTTGAGATGGCACCGAGACTGAAGGGCACGGGGACGTTGAACGGCGGCATTATGATGATACCATGCAGGATCTATGATCA